TTCCAGCTCCCTCCTCCCAGGTTTCCCCCTCCCCTCTCCCACCCTCTCTCTTCCCCTCTTCCACCTCCTTTTCCCAGTCTCCCCAGAAGTTAATCCCACCCCCCCCACACCCCCCCAGTTTTGTTAAATAAAGAGAGTTTCTATTTTTGAACACACGTGTCCTTTATTTTTTACATCAGGAAGGGGGGCTAGGGAGGGATAAGTGGAAGGAGGTGAGGGAGGAATGGGGCACGAGCCCCCAATAGGGAGAACTGGAGGGGCTCTGCGGGCTCCTCGGGGTGGAAGCTCTCCTGCAGGGAGTCCTGGATCCTGACAGCCCCCTGATTGACCCCCTCAGATGGCAGCCTGCAGCAAGTGCAGCCAGGCTGATGGCCGAGTGCTGTGATGTGCTGAGTGTGGGCACTCAGGGCACTCCAAGCCAGGATTGCTTTGCTGTCCCTCATCGACTTAGAGTGTGGAGCTGCTGCCGAGGGCTAGCTGAGGGCTGTGCTTAAAGGGACCCGACCCCCACCCCGGACAGACAGTTCTCAGGGTTCCCCGCTTGCTTGTCTAAGTCCTAACCTGATGCCCTGCCGGCACTGCTTCCAGCCAGCCTTAACTTCGGTTCAGGGTCCATTCAATGTGGACGTGCTATTTCAAATTAGCAAAACGCTAATTCAAATTAGTTTTTAGGTCTAGATGCTCGAATTCGAATTAGCTTAGTTCAAATTAACTAATTCGAATTAAGTTAATTTGGATTAGTGCTGCAGTGTAGACATACCCCGGTGTTTAAGCAGGACAGCTCCCCTGTAGCTCAGTATAAAAGTGCTCAGACCAGGGTAACTTATTCCTGCACAGGAAAGGGAATAAATCACACTACTGGACCAAGCATTTTTGTACTGATACGCCTGCAACCATCTGGTCCTGCCCTGGGGGAAGGGGATTGGATTCTATGTCCTCTCGCGGTCCCTTCCAATTCTAGCGTTCTAGGATTCTGATTGCAGGTCAGACGGGTGCAACTATTCACTAAAAAGTCATCCATGCAATTGAAACGGTTATTATAGCAGTATCAAAATGATGTGTAATTGAAATAGTTGAACCTCTCTAGTCCCACACCCTCGGGTCCTGATCGTTGCCGAACCAGAGAATTTGCCAAACCATGGGAAGTCAGTATTGTCCAGCAGCATGATCCACATGTCCACTGCTTACTGGGCTCTTAGAAGACACGGAGGGGTAAAATAGAGCTAAATAACAGCACAGGGACTGGGGGCTGGAAACAAACTTTCTGGGACTGCGGGAAACTTGGCCACACCCATGATCAGTGAGCATCCAGCTAACTCAAATCATGGGTGTTTCTGGACCAGAGCGTGACAGACTAGAGATGTTGAACCTGCACCGGTTTAAAAAAAGAGAACTAGTCCTTCCCCCCCGCCCACACATACACACAGGCTGTGTCTACACTGGGCCACTTTTTCTGGAAAAGCAGCTGCTTTTCCGGAATAACTTGCCAGCTGTCTACACTGGCTGCTTGCTTTTCCGGAAAAGCAATGATGATCTACTGTAAAATTGTCAGTGTTTTTCCGGAAAAACTATGCTGCTCCCATTCGGGCAAAAGTCCTTTTCTGGAAAAACTATTCTGGAAAAGGGCCAGTGTAGACAGCACAGTAGTCTTTTCCGCAAAAGAGCCCCGATCGCGAAAATGAAGATTGGGGCTTTTTTTCTGGAAAAGCGCATCTACATTGGCCATGGACGCTTTTCCGGAAAAAGTGCTTGTCCGGAAAAGTATCCTGCCAATGTAAACACGCTTTTTCCGGAAATACTTATAACAGAAAACTGTTCCGTTTTAAGCATTTCCGGAAAAGGGTGCCAGTGTAGACGTAGCCTTATAGTCATCTTAACTTTCCCTCAGCCTAATTTTATCTTATGACTTGTCTTTATTCCCTAGGTACAGAGAATCACACATCCAGCAAAAGGCAGCTTTCCCTGGCTGGAGAGGCTAGCGCATTGGTTCTGCTTTCCTCAGCATAAATTAGTTCATTAACAGAAATCTGCTTTTGATGTTCGT